CCCATTGAGACCCATTTACCGTATACCAGTGGCGTATCTAAGCATTTTTATTATTAGTAAACCGTTTAATAATTCCATGCGCTTTTATCTTTGTTGTTAATTGAGATATTGGAATGAAAACTTTTTTGTTTTAAAGCTTGGACCAAATACTGTCATGTACTGGATTCAATTGGTGTGTGACGTCATGGCTTACTTCTGGTTTTTCGGAAATAATAGAAAATCTCAATTTATTTTTAAATAGAAACACCCTCTTTTATTGAAAATTTGAATTTCGAGAACACTTATGGAAAAGAATCATGTGTTCAAAATTTTCTGTCAGCTGTCAAAATGTCCACATCATATTGGAAAATATTTTTTTTTAATGTTACAGAAAATTATCAATACACGTTCCAAAAATGTCCCAGAAATTCAAATTTTCAATAAAAAAGGGTTTTCATTTAAAAATAAAAATATTTTTTCTGTTATTTCTGGAAAAGCTGTAAGTAAGCCATGACATCACAGAAAAATTAAATCCATCATAAGAAAATTCTCTTTTATTTTTCATTTCCTTTGTTTTCCAGCAAATAAACATTCTAAATTTTTTTCAAAATTTTGCCCCCCCCCCCTATAGAAGTGTGTAACGACGCCCATGGAAGGGAGAGACGTAAGAAATAAAAATAGATCAGTTTTTTTCATTTGTTTCAAAAACATTTTTTCATGATATTCAATACGTTTCTTTTCAGTACAACAACCTGTATGTTACGTTCATCATTAAACCAATTAGAAACACTCATTGTGCACAGTAGATTATTTGACTATTCCATATTTTCTGACAATGTGAAAATTAGTAATCCACTAAACAACCGAACTTCTCGCATTGTTTGGTAACCATCTGAATAATATGCAAAATTATTCTAGAGCAACGTGTCTTATTATGTGCTTTCTATTGATTGAACGTAGAAACTTATAATCTATTCAAGTGCTTCATTGTCAGTCAGTTACTCATACAAAACTTCGAGAAGTAGTTTCATTTCTTAAAAAAAAAACAACGATGTTGGCCGACTTATTAAAAGCATATTATAAGTTTTTAATTTTTGAAGCGTAGTAGAATATTTTATTACAACGATTAAAGGGAGTGATCAACAAAAGTTGTTTTTAAAGTAGGCCATTGAAAAATCACGAATATCTATAAGCGCGTAATTCTTCTTGTTTTTTAAAAGTTAGTATACAGTTATATTCCAGGAATACGTAGAATAATGAAGAATGGAATAGACGCTTTAACTGGCGTATTTATCACGGACATGACTAGTCTTTGTTAATCATGGCCTACTTTAAAAATATTTTCTGTGTATGACTCTTTATTACTCACAATGTATAAAAGCCTTTTACTACTATCTGACTAATAACCGATAATATCATACGCCCAATAGCGGCTTGTCTGTAAGGGTTATAGGGTTACAACTCCCCAGAACAAAGGAAAACTAATTTATATGAATATAAATATAAAATAAAAATATAATTATGTTATCTACCCATACTATTTTTAATAAAAAAACAATATTTTCCTTTATATTATAGGTCTGTTTTACTTGTTCCAGTCATAATCTAAAAGTTCGTCTCAGGCGTTCAATTAATTTTTTGTAGCATATGAGGACCGTTTTTTCAAAACTCAACAAGCACAGTTAAAACTACACAAACTAAGGGCAAAAAAATTCTATCAGCCTTTGAAGGAAGAAAGCAAGGACACTGTTAAAATCGTTTTTGACATGCAGCAGAACCAACCGCTGCCTAAGCTTTTTGTGGGAGAAGTGTTTTTTTCTCGCCAAGTATGGCTCTACAATCTCACCATAATGATCCATAAATCCAAACAGGAAAAAAGATATATTTCTCATTATGTGTGGCTCGAAACTGAAAGTGGCAAAGGAGCTAATGAAGTAGCTAGCTGCGTACAACATTTTTTGAAAAGGTTGGAGGAAAAATTTGAAGATGTACTAGGTTTTAAACCAAATGAAAAACAAAACTTGTTGCTGTTTTCAGACTCTTGTGAAAGTCAAAATAAAAACACAATCTTAATGGGAACACTGATGAATTTCCTCTAACATTCCACTATTTTTTCAAGCATCAAACACGTTTTTCCTATTAGAGGGCATAGTTACATGCCGGCGGATCGTGTATTTGGCCGAATCGAAAAAGAATATAGAAAACTGGAAGAGATGGTATCGCCTAAAGACTATTATGACGTATTGGAAAAACTGGTAATCTTTCTCGTTATGGCCAAGATTGGACTGTGAAAAAGATAAAAGACGAAACAAAGAAAATATTTAAAACAAAGTTACCATTTAAAATCTCTGAAACAAAGATTATCAAATACCAACGCAAAAAAGAAAAAGTGGAAATTTTTGATTCAACCACCTACAGTGGAGGATTGATAAAATGTGCTGTCCTGAAAAACAACATTAAAAATGCACTATTGGTCGACAAAGCAAAAGTATTGCCAAAGATTAATATGGTAAATATAAAAAAAGGGACAATGTTAAATCACTTTTGCAATGCGTGGATATACCCGATCATGCCAAGGAATTTTACCAGAATGTGATGGCAGCAGCGAATGACAATACAGGGAAAGATGAAGACAACATAAATAAAGACTACGACGACAGTGAAAATGTTTTTTAATAATGGAAGTAACATGATTATATGCAGAGTGTCCGGTTTTTGCAAAAACTCGAGAATTTTGATATTTTGTTTTTAGAATTTCGCTTATTATTTTTCTTTGTAACTACACTCACCAACAGAATTAACCGCCTACCCAATGTTTTGTTATTTAGTTGGAGATATTTGTAATTTTGATTTTTTTTTTTTTACTTTTTAATGTACATCTTGAAAAAGCAAACAAATACCAATCAAATGAAAGTTTTTGTTTAATTTTAGAAATTAAAAGAAAAACAGTTTCTGAAAATTTTGAACTTTTTGAATAAGTTGAGCAATACATGAAATTTATCGACAAAAAACTATTGTTATTAACAAAATTCACTTTAGTAACGAGTGTTACCCACTCTTGCCCTGATCACATCACTAAGCCTGCGTGGAATGGTATCCATGATTGCTGGAATCTCAGCTTGTGGGATGTTTTCCCATTCTTCCAACGCAGCAGTTTTCAGCTCTCGAATAGTGGTTGAAGCTGCTCTTCGTGCTCGAATCCGTTTTTTTAGGTTGTCCCAAATGTGTTCAATTGGAATGAGGTCTGGACTCTGTGCTGGCCATGGCAAAGTTCTGATGCCAACTTCGTTAAGGTATTGCGTAACCACTCGAGAGACATGACATCGTGCGTTGTCTTGCTGAAGAACAAATTCCTCGCCAATATATGGTGCAAAAGGAATGACATGTTCTTGAAGAACTTCTTGAACATACCTGTGAGCATCTACACCACCTCTAGCAAAAATTACCAGATCCGTACGAGCCTCGTAAGAAATTTCACCCCATATCATTATTGAGCCTCCTTTATAACCCACAGTTTTCATAAGAACACAAGGAGCTAACCGCTCTATCGGGCGTCTGTATACATGCTGACGGCCATCTGGACATTTTAAAGCAATTCTGCTCTCGTCAGAGAATAAAACATTCTTCCACTGATCCATATTCCACATACTGTATTCACGCGCAAAACGGAGTCTAGCTGTTTTGTGATGCGTGCGAAGCTGAGGGGCTCGGTAAGGGCGTCTCGCTATAACATTCCTTTCTGCCAACCTCCTTCTTATTGTTCTCTCGCTGACCTCCACATTTCTAACCTCAGCAAGACGAGTACGGGCTTCAACAGCGGTACAGAACCGATCTCTTAAAATCGTGCTAACAACAAAACGATCGTCCCTCATTGAAGTACAGCGATGGCGGCCCTGACCAGGCCTTCTGGTGTAAGAACCTGTCTCTCGAAAACGCCTTATGGCATCTCTGACTGTTTCACGAGCAGCACCAAGTATTCCAGCAATACGACGTTGACTATAACCTTCATCAGATAGAACTACAGCCTTGGCTACTGATTCTGCTCCCAATGTCATTGTTTTGAATAAAACTGTTTTGAACTTAACTTAAACCGATTTAACAAAATATACACCAACACTAAACAAGTCTAATAAAGAAAAAAATTGTAAATACATTAACATTAAACAAGCCAAAGTGAAACCAAATTACTAATAAAAAGCGAAAGAATGACAGCACTGACAGTTAAACATTTATTTACTGTCAAAATGTCACGTCATATCAATTAATTTTAAAAAGTGACGAAAATCTCCGAAAATTTCAGAAATATAAAAAATAATTGGGTGGGCGGTTAATTCTGCCGGTGAGTGTATATGCATCCTTATGCATACAATTAAAGAATTTTAAATTTCTAACTGCATTTTTTTTAACCCACTAGTCAAATTATAAATCATAAAAACGTGTTTCCTGAAAAATCGTATTTTTTATTATGTTGAGTTTTGAAAAAACGGTCCTCATATGTTATTGGCTGACAGGGGTAAAGTTGTAGCGCCCTCAATTCACGTATCAGATCAGACGACGTCGCTTACGGTCAAAGGTGTCAGACACGACATTTTTACATGCAACAGGATGACCAAAATTTCTGCCTTGCTCATGTGTAGATAGTGAGTCTATTTATTATCTGTAAGATATGAGTACGCCTCTGGCTGCTAAAATATATTATGGAAATTTGTTATAATATTAAGGAAAGAGTGACACGTGGGCGCGAGTCGCGAAAATGTGTGGTTATAGAAAAAGGTTGTGTATGAATATATCAGCAGACAGCTGATCCATCGTAGTTGCGGTTACAACAAAGATTTGTTGAATAAAGATACTTCTGTGGAACGTTGACTACAAGTCTAGGGATGGGACTCAATGCTGATTGTTAAAGGTAGGTGTTATTTTTGAATGTGGATTTATTAATTTTTTAATTATTTTAATCTTTGCAGTTTGCGTTAATTAATTATTGCTTTATATTTAATTTTCTTATTTCAATAAGGACTTACCTCTAGCTGTTTTCGCTGAGGTTTGTATACCCTGTGCTTCATAAAAGGCGGGAAGTCCATAGTCAGTAACTTTGAGGACCCATCGAGCATCGATGACACAATTCCTTGAAGTTAAGAAACCATGTACTTTTATTGGAGTCGAATGAAGATATTTCATACCCTGAAACAATAAAATACAAATTTTAAATAAGCTGAGACTTATCACTAAGTGGACTAGATCAGATTAAAGGAACAAAAGGTATACATTAACTGAGAATACAAATAATTATTTCTACAAACAACTTTTATTTGAAGAATTTTCATATAAATTTGAATTTTTTACATTATGTCAAATTTCTTGAATACAGGCTATTTTAGGAAAATTTTGTATAGAATAAAAACTATAGAGAATATTATTAAAAGTAACTTTTATTTAAATAATTTTCTTCTCCAAACGTAAATATTGGCGATTCGAATACCGCTCGCGGATCCTCAAAAAGGATTCGAATCCTATGTGATTCTAATCCTCCTCAGCTCTGGTTTACGAAAATTCTTAAAACATAAAATCAAGGATAATTTAAAATAGGAACTGTGACACAATGAGATAGAGTTACAGGAGAAACAAGAAAAAGAAAAGACTGCAGAAAAAGAAGTATATTATATGTACCTATTAAACGACATTATTAATGTGTAGATAAATTATGTAAAAATACACAGTTACAAAGATAATTATAAAGTTTTAAAGGTTACCTTGCCATTACTTACAACTTACAACTAGTACCAATCTTACACATTTTTCTATTTAATTAAATTTCATAATCTCGATAGATTTTGCTACGTTGAATTCGTATAAAGAGGAGGATTAAAAGTAATAAGGACTCGACAAGAATGCCTGTATTCGGAATAATCTGTTCCCGGTCCACAAAGGAATGCTGAATTAACCACACAAACAAAACTATGCATGTTGTTACGTATTCTGTCTGCTTCAATGACATAAAAAGGCAAGTTGCTTTATGCAGTAACTGAATATTTAAAATGTTTTACTTAAAATAAATACAAATTCCTACGAACTAGTTTGAAAATACTTTAAAATTATTTTACAGAGACTATTTGTCATAAAAAAGCCATAATGCATGCACTGTGAAAACGAGGTCTAACATGTTTAATTGAAAAATATTTGATTATTACTACTAAATTACTTAATTTTCGATTAATGCCAGTAATTAAGAGAAGGTTGTTGGAATTGTATTAATTTGAAACTGCTGTAAGTAGTCAATTGTTTAATATTCAATAATATATTAGTAAAAACTTTAATACCTACCTACCTACCTAATAATATTAATGGCTACAACACGTAAAACAGAAATAAAAATCCGTCCTGAAAGGGTTAATGTGGCAACGTTGGATTAAAAGTACTAATCGTTGGACCAAGCAAAATTAGATAACTGTCGTGACGTAATCGACGTGCGATGTAGAAAATAATGCTAGAAATAGCGTGGATTCAAGAAGGCACACCATTTTGAATTCACGGATCTGTTGACCTCTTTTTTAAACTACAGGTATTCGCGGAAACCGCTCCCGAGAATAACAACCACAGAGATATCGGTCCTTTGAAGTTCGAAGAGTAAAATTTTATGACCTTGAATTTGACTTATGAGACGGATGACCGGTATAATAAAATATATTGAAATTGAAAATGATATTTTACCTTACCTATCATGCATAAAATTTGTGTAGTAAAATATTGGTTTTTAATATAGCAGTTTCTGTCATGTTAAAACTTTTAATTTGATTAGCAGCGAGGCAAACACCGAAAGAAGTGTTTTACACGTATTTTCCGAGCCATCGTTGTAATCCCTCAAGAAAAAACACATTGTGAGGTCTGCTAAACGCAGAGGCCAAGTGATGTATCCATTTCGAGAAATCACACGATTTGGAGATAACTATTTTTGATAAAAAGTCTTTACAGCGTACGCGCGTTGCTGAGAAGTTCATTGCTTCATTATTTTTAAACGCTAATATACAGGAAACATGGCACATAGCATCCTTACCACTTCCTAATGATATGGCGCGGTTGCCGGGTTTTTTAAAATCACTTCTCACTACCTTTAGAGAGGCATGAACGAGATAATCGTCAAGTTCCATCTGTCATCATCTCCAGGTTTATATCTAACGACTTCTAACTATGCTTATGTTAGGAACATGTTCTTTTTTGGTTTATATGAGAACTTGAAGCACTTATAATAACTGTTATCAATTTTGGATCTAACAGATTTTAAAAAGTAACCTAATCTCTAAATAACAACAAAAATCAAATATTTCTAAAAGATAGAACCGTAATGTTTTCTGTTTCTGTTTATAAATATAATTCTCTTAAAATTTACGCTAAACTTCTCTAATCAATAAAATAAATTTAAACAATCACAGACTATCCACAAAAACATAAAACTATTGAAGTTTGCCAAATCTTTTAAGTGTATCGAATTTCCAATTTTTACTGTTTGTCATATTTTCCTAATACCGGTATATGCTCATACCTCATACATTCCATCCATCAATATGACTGGCTTTGCGGGAAAACATATCGCAAAATCTATTAAAAAAGTTCTCTACAAGTTCACCGCGAGTTAGGATGTGGTGCAAAGTTTTTTTGATTTGTTATTGTTTTGCTCTATCGATTAAATCATTAACTATATTTAATCGTAATGTTAGACATGTTGTTTCTACATCTTAAAAACTTGCTTTTGTTTGCCGCGTGTGAAAAATTTGATAGTCCAGTCATTATTCTGTAGTATAGACCATATCAATAATTATTTCCAACTGTTCAAAGGTTTTTGAGTTTCAGTTGTTACCTATTTTATATTTTATATATTATGTAAGCAAAAACTATTTGTGTTACTTCTATTTTGTCATTTAGTTAAATAATCTGATTTCTCTAAGGCCTCTTATATCGGACAATACATCTGAAATTAGGAGCCTTTGTACTTAGATAATAATGAACTTAGTTTAGTTTTCTCAAACCCTTCTATTTGGAAATAAAAAAAGCAAACAATCTATGACTGGTTTCGATCTACTTGGTAGTAGAATCTATAATCTATTCTGATGATAGTTTGACAATTCGAACTTTGCATGAAAGTGCCTAACCACATACATAATATACAAATAGTCGCGCCATCTTTACTTAAATACCCAAGTGATAATCCTGTCCTAGGAGTAGTTGTTTGTATTATGAGGCGACAGAACAATATTCCGACAAAAATCAAGACTGGTGTCAATCACCCTGTATTTTCGTACGTATTTTCCTTCCATTTCGTCGTCAATTTCACAAAGTGACGTATAAGTCCAGTTTTACAAAGGAATATCTGCATCCAGGCTTGACAATATCGAAAATGTATGACATGTTCACAAACGAACTTGATAATAATGACAAAAAACCTTGTATCGACCTATACATGAGAGTATTTCGATCTCTAAATTTATCGTTTCACAAAGCAAAGAAAGGTCAGTGCTCTTTGTGTCTTAGTTACAGGACAGGAGATGATAGTATAAAAGAAAACTTAAGAACTCGATTTGAGAAGCACGTTGCCGAAAAAGAAAAAATAAGAGAAATAAAACAAAATAATAAAACAGAAGCTATTATACTCAAATTTTATGTGCTAGTTTTGACTTACAGCAAGCGATTTATTTGCCTCAATCAAAGGAAAGCGCTATTTTTTACAAGAATCCATTAGCTAACTATAATCTTACAGTGCACAATATTGCATCAAAGGAATGCTTTTGCTATCTCTAGAATGAAGTATAAAGTAAACGAGGTGTTGCTGAAATAAGTTCCTGCATCTATACTATGAAAATGAGGTTAAATCGGTTGCTCTTTTTTCAGATGGTTACAGCGGTCAAAATAAAAATTTAATTACTGCAACCATGCTTCTGTATACGGTGGCAAACTCTAAAAACACAGAGAAGATATCGTTTAGATTTTTTGAGTCATTCCATAGGCAGAATAAGGGAGTTTCTGCACATAGTGCTATTTCAACTGCATTAATAACCGCAGGTGATATTTTTGTACCATCACAGCTTCACCCCATTATTTATTTATTTATTTATTTATTTATTAAAAACTCAAACAGGTTTTACAACCTTTTTATAAGGGTAGTCAGTACAATAAATATAATATTAATAAATGTTATAGATAGATAGTAGGTAGTACATGGTCTCGTTAATTATAATAATTACTTAAACTAATAAAGAAAAAATAAATCCTTTTTATTAAGCTATAAGAAATAATGCACCCTAAAAAACAAGAAAAGGAAGAAAGAGAAAAAAGGAAAAAAAATGCGCCTTTCCCGAAGAAAACAACCATACAAAGTAATACCTCTATAGCAGCGTTACTCAAAGTGTGCTCCGCGAAGCCCCTGGGCTCCGTATAGCCTTTGTAGGGGCTCCGCAAAGAAAATACCTATCGCTACAACAGAACGGGACCTACTGTTTTTTAGAAGGAGTATGGTTTGGTATTTTGGGTCAGAGGAATTTGGAAGTCAGGAAGAACAAGGAGTATACGATGTAGTATGGAACTTTTTTTTTTCTTTTCTTTTTTTTTTCTTTTTTTTTTTTTTTTTCTTTTTTTTCTTTTCTTTACTTTTTTTCTTTTTTTTTCTTTTTTTTTCTTTTTTTTTTCTTTTTTTTTTTTTGAGATCAGAAACTTATGATTATGATGATTCAGTATTTTCGGCTGGAGTACCTTTTTTTATTAGAATTGAGTATTTGATATGGTATTTTGAGTTAGAGGACTTTTTTTTTTAGAAAGTGAGTACATGATTTGGTTATGGTTTTGGTATTTTCGGTTGTTTTTAGGGGCTCCGCAAAGAAACGGGAGGGACCTGGCAAGAGGCTAGAGCAAGGAGGGCTTTTTTTTTCGAAATGTGTTAAGGGCTCCGTCAAATATTTCACTTTTCAAAAAGGTTCCGTCACCAAAAAAGTTTGAGTACCACTGCTCTAGAGTATCACGATTTTATAGATTTCAAGAAACTATCCAGAGATCAACGAATATTGTCAGTAAGAACATCGGATTCTGGAAATTCCATAAAATGGACATTATGAAATTAAAAATAAAGAAATCTGATCCATTCAAAATATTTTTCAAAAATAGTCACCTTCAAGAAGACTTCAATTTGCTAACACTTAAAAGATTACAAACTGATTTATCTGAAGTTACTTTGGAGCCTCTAAATCGAGAACTTCAAAAACTCAAAGCTGAGAAATACCTTGACCTTCAGTCACTATGTGAAGGGTCTTTGCCAGTAGTTAAAAATCAGAAGCACAAAATCTTTTATTTTAATCTTCCACACAATGCTTGATTTCCAAGTAATATTGCATTTCATTATCAATTATTTTTTTATTAGAATTATTATTTATTTTTTAAATATTATTATTTTAAATACAGAATGTTTAATTTATTTGTATTATTTATATTTGTTTGCCTATAATGGTTTTGTATGTTTGTTGTTGATTTTTAATAAAATTGTGGTTAATTTCTTAATAAATTTATGATTTATTAAATTTTTCTGCACTATAGTAGGTATTTCTTAATAAATTGACGTAACCCAGTTTTATGTCGTTACGAATTGTTTTTCAATTTCACAAAGTGACGTATCTCATTGTCGGCTATTTTAAGAAAAATCAAACAAGTTTTTTGGCGAAAATGATGTATAGACATGTACTTGACACATTATTCTTCTAGTATACTAAAAATTAGATTTTAGATTGTTACTGTTACTTGTTGCCATATGGTTCAACTTTATAAAAATCTTTAAAACGCTCTCCTGTAAAGTTGTGAAAATCAAGTTACGCCACTTTGTAAAATTAACGACGATTTGATAGTGACTTTGATCGTGTATTTTAATTTTTAGCTTTTATTATAATTTGCCGACGTTTTGACGTTTGTTTTACAATCTTTATCAAGGCCAAACTACAATTAAAAATCATGCTTTCTTGATAAAACGTATCAAAAAGTATGAATGTAAAAGTATTTATAAAAGTTTGATGATCCACCTTATACACTTACCCTAACGAGGTCCGTAAGGAGACTGAGTCGAAAAGACCAATCAAGCTTAATGTCGTCCTGTTGCAGAACATCTTGCAAAGATCCTCTGGCGCAATATTCTGATACCAACGCGGCTCTCGGCGGCTCGGCCAAGCACCCGATGAGTGGATTCAAGTTTTCGTGTCTCAAACCGTGCAGTAACACAAGAAGTTCTACGGATTTACCTTTAAGCTCGTTGCCGCTTCCCATCAAGAGAAGTGGCTTCATTTGCACGAGATCACCCTAAAAAAAAAAGAAAAATCACTTTATAGGATGGCACTATCATGAATCAAAAACAATAACAAATATTTTCTCAGGAAAAAGGTTTTATCCTCTTCTGGGAATATATGTATATTCTTTTTTCTATAAATTTTTACTAATAAAGTGTTTTTTTAAATAATATAGTGTAAAAGACAATTTTAATCTATATTAAATGTACTTGGTAACTGACACATTTATCTATAAGTATCAATAATGAATTGGGGGAAACAGCTTCGCAAATAATTTTTTTTACTCAACTGCAATATATAAAAATAGTTATTGTGAGTATACTTTAGAAGGTAGAAATATGCGAACTTTCCTGTACGCTTTTCAGACCTACAGTTTTCTTCTCTCACTGTGATAGTTCATTTCGTTGTGGCTACTGCCCCGTACCCACACACCTTACACTACACTCCTTTCTTCTTAGTTCAATGTTCATTAAAGAATATGTAATAACTTTTTAAATAAAATAAATTAAAAAAAACTGTTTTTTTTGTTGGTTTTATAAATTTAATCTAACTGGAGGTTTAACACTCCTTTGAGATCGTCGAATGGAGGGAGGTTCTGGTTTATTTCTTTCCATAAGATTCGGTTTATTTAAACTTTTAGGAGAAGTTAAGGACATAGAAACAGATGGTTTATTTACAGGAATATCAATTGTAGTTGGCTTTTGCCCTATATTTGGCTCGACGCTCGGCGTTATTTTTGTGGATGGGCCTGGCAACTGTGACCAATTCATCCACATCCTCATCATCTAGCAATGACTTTTTTAAATTATCGAAATGGATATACCTAACTGTACCCTTTACCAAAACTAGATATGAATTAATACCTACTGATTTCATTATTTCTCTCTTGACCCATTTATTTTCCTCTGGTAAGTAGACTTAAACCTTTTTCCTTACTGTATATAAGATGTTTTCTCGTCTACCTTTATTTACATAACTATCAATATTTTGTTCCCTTCCTTTTTCACTTCCCCCTTTTAGAGTATGTGGATGTATCATGTTTATTTTTGTTCTGGGCAGCTGACGATGGTGTGTTACGGTAATTAAATAAAAAGTTATCCAATTTGTGCAGCATTGTTTTACTCTTATTGTTCATATTTTCCTCAAAAATAGCTTTTTTTAAGGCTTTCTCAATTGTGGAAACCGATTTTTCTGCACTGCCATTTGACTCTGGATGGTAGAGTGGCATGTTAATGATCTGAATCCAATTAGAAACACAAAATTTATAAAACTGTTCACTATTGAAAGGTGGACCGTTATCTGCTACAAGGAATTCTGGCAATCCAAAAAGGCAAAGTACATGACGTAACGTTTCAATAGTTTTATCGGCATTAGTACCATTCATAATAAAAACCTCCAAACATTTGAAAGTGGTATCAAAAATGATTAGGTTTAAAAAATTTAAATTCTATTCTATTAAAATTTTTATCTGATTTAGGCCAATGAGCTAACTTTATTTCCCTTTCTTTTGCTGTATAGGTTTGACATGCTTCACACTTGTGGATCAATGTTTTAATATCCTCATTTAATTTTGGCCACCAGAAATCGTTTTTGGCCCTCAATTTTATTCGGACTATCCCTGGATGTCCTTCATGTAGTAAGGACAAAATATTAGGCCAAATGGAACTTGGCACTATTACCCTATTTCCCCATATAAGGCACTCATTTTCAGTGCTTATTCTTGTCTGCGTACAAAATAAGGTTTAAGCTCCTCTTCTATACAAAAGGACCACCCATGTCTAATTAGATTTATTACTTTAGTTAATATAATATCTTTTTTTGTTTCCTCCAAAATAGTCACAGCAGAAATTGGCAAGGTTTCTTCATAAGTGAATGAAAACACTTGCTCTTCCTGTTCTTGAAATAATTTCCTTAATGGTAACCGTGATAGGGCATCTACATTTGACATATCGGATGCCTTCTTATAACAGATCTCATAATCATATGCCGATAAAATTACTGCCCATCTTTGGTTACGTCCATGAACTAAAGTAGGCAATTTGTCCTTTTCACCAAATATTGACTTCAGTGGTTGATGATCAGAAAAAATAAAGAACTTCCGCCCATATAAGTATTTATGAAATTTTTGCACAGCAAATGTTACTGCTAATGCCTTCCTCTTAACTTGTGCATAGTTCCTTTCAGCAGGTGTTAGTGTACATGATGCACATAATATAGGTTTCACCTCATTATCAATTACTTGATTCAACAAGACTCCAAGAGTGAAGCATCACCTGCTACAATCAGTACTTTAGTTGGATCATAATGTGCCAACCTGAAACAGTTTAATAAAAGAAGTTTGGTTTTATCAAATGCCTTCTGTTGCTCATGTGACCAAACAAATAAGACGTTTTTCTTTAACAACTCATTCAACGTATGACACACTTCTGATACAGAATTTATGGATAAGTTACAAGATTGACACTTCATTTTTGGAAATAGTTTTTTAAACATACCTTTTGACATTACACCTACACTTGCTCCTGTGTCGACTTCCATATATACTTTTTTTTCTTCGACCATCACAGGGATGACTTGATTACAAGACAACTGCTTAATGTTGAGCCTATTTAGCTCATAGACATCTACTTCCTCTTCTTCTTCTTCTTCTTCTTCTTCTTCTTCTGCTCCGACTCTTCTTCTGCTTCAACCCTCTTGAGTCGACGACTACGGCAGACTCTGGACGTGTGGCCCCTTCTTTTACAAGTAAAACTTTAGCAGGGCATGTCTCTGGATTGTGAAAATGTTCACATCGAAAACATCTTGACTGACCAGCTTGACTTCCTCTTGTGCTTGACGATACAGACTTTAACTTCCTGGTTGCCCCCGTTTTACTGGAATTATGATTTAATACCATGGGGTAGGACTACTTTTGATTCACTAGAGGACAATTCTTCGCCTAAGAGTACTTGACAAGCCTTTTCAAACGTTAAAACACTTTCTGACAACAATGATCTCACTATCGACTCTGCCAGCAGATCACAAACTGGTCGATCTTTTAGGGCATAATTGAGAAACACACCAAATTCGCAGGACGCCGCAAGACTCTTTAGGGCTACTATAAATTATGTGACTGACTCTTCCTCCCTCTGTATTCTTTTATGAAACTTATACCTTTCTACAATGACTGACTTTACTGGTGTAAAATGCTTAGTTAATACTTCCACCATATCTCTATACGTTTTGACCGGTTTTTGTAGAAGCAATAAAGTTTTTAGTAACTGGTAGGTCGATGGACCCATTAAGGTTATATATAGCGGACCTTTTGCGGCTGCATAGTTGCTCCATTCTTTCCATTCAAAATCTCCATTTACGACATCGAAGTGTTCAATTGAACCTATTAACGACATTTTGATTATTTTCTATTGCGAGTAAGACTTCTCTATACTAAGGTTAGACTGTGCGACTGACCATGTGGAGGATAACTTTCTTTTTTTTTATTGTTACTGACTTCACCATACAATTATCACTTTCTTGCCACTGATTAGGTAAGGGCTTTTTATCCTCGTCGCCACTATTGTGTATTTAAACTACTGTGCATACTTCAACATTTATTTAACCCTGAACATTTACACATTACAAATTATTACAAGACCCAAATTAATTTCCCCCGTTTTCTTGAAATGCATTCCAATCTCACTTCTCCCACTGTGACAGTTCATTTCGTTGTGGCTACTGCCCCGTACCCACACACTTTACACTATACACTTTATTGAAACGGCAAGCTCAAGGTTATAGGGCAAATAAATCTAAGATTTTAACGATGGAACAAATCGAAAAATGTTTCCTGATAAGGAAAATTTAATGATTAAGGTAATTTACAAGGTTTTAATTTATATTTAGATTACACATTTATTTATTTATTTATTTTTTAGGTGGTTTTAATATTTGGTATTTTTGGGACCTGTAGAATGGATGAGTTAGTCTAAATGACTCTACTTGATGTAGAAGACCTAAAATCTAAGCTTTTAATTAGCATAACTGATTCAAAGACCAACAAACCAAGATCATTTGTAGTTATTCAGATGTACTTGAATGTTTTGAATGTTTTTTGAAAGTATGTTTCGTTAAGACCAGAAAATATGAGCAGTGACCGATTTTTCTTTAAATATCAAAGCGGAAAGAGTTATAGACAAGTGGTAGAAATACATCAATTTAGAAAAATGCCTAAAATAGTAGCTACTTATTGGTAAACCCGGCAAAATGTCACTGCTTTCGTCGGTCTTCTGCAACAATATTGGTTAACTCTGGTGTCATCAAACGTTGCTAAGAGATATATTGAAGATTCTCTTAACAATAAGGTTGAGGTGGCAAATAAAATTTTCAAAGTACAAAATGTTTAACAAAATAATGTTCCTCCAATGTTCAATAATTGTACTAACTGTCAAATAACTGTAAATATAACAAACTAAATTTAAAATGTATTCTGTAACTAACCCTACTTTTAGTACCTATATAATCTAGCAACGGAGCCCTGTGAAATTTGATCTGCAGAACAATTTTTTTAAAATTTCGATTTTGTTCAAAATGAAAGTAGGTAGCGATGTTATTAAAAGCAAGTAAAGTGCAATTTTTGAAGAAGATTAAAAATTTTATAACACAAAAAAACTCGTGTTTATAAAATATTGATGGAGACACAATATAATTTTATTTTAACATGGCTCATACTAAACCTTCATTATTTTTCCACAAAGTAATGTAATTTTACGCGAAAATGGAAGCTTTTTATCACTTCACTTCGACTTTACTACAGAAATAATGGCAAGTTCTTGGTGGTTATATTATAAATTGTACTTTTAAGGTTGTGTAGGGTTTAATAACAGATTCTTAATTTGAAAGAACTCCTCAGGAAATTTGAGTATCAATTTTAAGTTGTTGAATTTCTAATCCAACAAAGTTTTGAAACATATATATTTAGTGGCGCGAAATAACAGTACAAAGTTATGAAACATATCTGTTTAGCAAAGTGAAATA